AATGTTACTCTGAATGTGTATCCACACCAGCTGAAAAGTTAGCTTGGCCATGGTGGGAATTAAACCCACAAGCTTTGGGATACTAGTCCAATGCTCTGACAACTGAGCTACATGGTCAAGTCGGTTGATGATATTTTGGAAGTCTAGTTCTTTCGATATCAGTGTATTCTATGATATGATCAAAGGAACTGGACTCGGTTACAAAATATCATCAACTCGAACCCACTTGACCACATAGCTCACTTGGCAGACCATTGGACTAGTATCCCAAAAGTCGCGGGTTCAATTCCCACCACTTTTATAAATTCAGTTCTAAATAATCACTTTCGACTGATAAAGGAAGTTTGCTTTGAATTTTAGTTGTTAAAATAGGGTTAATTAAGCTAACCCAGCTTTGAACAACTGGCCCCTGGGGCCAATGGTTCAAAGCTTTAGCTGATTAGTGCTACCAGTGGGTAAAAATTAACCAGCTGTTTTGGGTACATCTGCACTTCTGTTTATTTTAAAACTTTGGAAAATAAAATTTCTATTGAACCAGATAAGAATTCTGGAAAATTATCATCATGTTTATAAACATTTAATATCCAGAACCTCCCTTTTTAACTCCCAAATTCCTCATGGGTAAACAAATTCTCCTGTGGAATTCACAGACGGATTTTCGGGGGGAGGTGCTACCCTGCAGTGCCTTGCCATGCAAATAGCTTATTTGCAAGGAACGTTTGGAATTTTTACGAACATTATTTTAGTCTTTAATTTAATTCTTTTAGGAAATAGACTTGCCTAGATTTAATCTTTAAAAATCCATTGATATGACAACTTCAAAAAACTTTTTCAAAGCTAGAAATCATGATTTTTTCAAATTTTTCCTGGGATACTTTGTTTTCTGCTCTCTAGACTCCCCCTCGCAGCTCTATAGTGCTCCACCCCTAGAATATAGACCTAACTGGGGTTTGGTGACACTTTGTGTTGCTTCAGTCACCTGCTCACGGCTCACCCCCCTAAAATTTCTGGCACCACCCCAGTAAAAAAATGAAAATCCGTCTATGGTGGAAATCCGTCTATGGGGTTCGTTATTTCGAATGCAATTTCCTTAGGGGTCAGGTGTAAAAATTGTACTTCTTCAGGGGTAAATGCTGACTTCTTCAGGGGTAAATGCTATTTAATTAACAGGAATTCTTCAGGGGATCTCTTTTATGACAGGAATTCTTCAGAGATATGGTAAAACCATTGTCCTCGATAGGGGGGTTACGTCTTTTAAATGGAATATCCCAATTAAAAACAGACCCCTTCTAGAAGTCTTCGAAAACTTTCTGAAAATTGTTGAGAAACATTTCTCTTGTCAAAACAATATTAAACTTTTGACCAATAAAAAGCAACCATTGAAGGAAAATTCATTGTTGACATTTCTTGTATAATAGTGCTTATAAATAATTATTAATATCAAACTAATAATCGTACTGAAGTATGGCATCCAATTATTACATTTTGTAAAGTAGTAATATAAAACAGTTTTTTGCAACAGCGAATCAGCAATTCAGCATATTTGGCAAAGGCATAGCGTGGATGCAAAATGAAACAAAGTTGGGGGTCAGGTTTTGTTTTAGATATTTTTTGTTTGACATAGGGGCCAGGGTGCATTTTAAGTGGCCTAAGCCGAAGATCTTCGGCGTGAGTTTGGCACATTACAATATTGGTGTATCTTCGGCGTAGACTTTACATGGAATGCACCCTGGCATAGGGGCTTTTTATATTGGACCGGGCTGGCCCACTTGGCAAGACAGCCCGATAAGCGAGATCTCGCTGTGTCTTCGGCGTAGACTTTACATGGAATGCACCCTGGCATAGGGGCTTTTTATATTGGACTGGGCTGGCCCATTGGCATGACAGCCCGATAAGCGAGATCTCGCTGTGTAGTAGAATTTAAAAATTCCTGTGCGTTTATACGGACAACCGAGGTGAAAATTTGGCCCTGTTGCCAGGATGAAATATTTTCGATAGTGTGAAGTCTTTTCTGCAATTATTTTTATAGTTCTTGACATTACATACGTAAAAGAGACAAAAAAGGTTGCAAATACTGTGACTTGCACATTTGAGCTTAGAGACAGGAAGTTTTACCGTGCAGTTTGATCGTTGAAACACACAACTTATCAAGGGCAAACTCAAATGTTGTCAAGCGGAACTGTGAATGTTTTCATTGGAAATTTAGGCACTTCTGGGCAATCATAGCAAAGAAGGCGCAGAAATTATGTGATTGGCCAAAATTTCCCATGAAAACATTCACATTTCCGCTTGACAACATTACGATCAAACTGTGCGGTAAAACTTCCTGTTTCTAAACTCAACTGCAAATCGCAGTATGTGCTTCAATAGCGGTGCCTAAATTTCCCATGAAAACATTCACATTTCCGCTTGACAACATTACGATCAAACTGTGCGGTAAAACTTCCTGTTTCTAAACTCAACTGCAAATCGCAGTATGTGCTTCAATAGCGGGTCTCTGTAAAGAACGGAAACCGAAACAACCGAATCCGGAAACGACCGAAACCAGAAATTCCCACCTAATTTCCCCGCATAAAATTGCCTAAAATTTAGCCTGCGAGCAGGCTCACCGGGATAATAAACAAAGACTTTCAAATTGACGCAGGGTGTGAAATGTACAACAAAGAAATGTGTAAAACAAGTGTAACTCCGAAGATCAATAACATTTTTATATTGACCGGCCACATTTTCATACATTTCCCTAGAATTTTAAATCGTTTTTTCTCCTCAGCATATGATGTCTGCTGAAATATTGTCAGAGAAAAACTGTACATTTCATCGCAAGTACGCAATTTCACCGTAAGTACGTCGAGTTATGTACGACAAAAACATAGTATATGCTGAACTTGAAAGGTTTCAACTTTGTTTTAATTATGTTGTTTTAATACTCAGATTTTTCTCAAAAGTGATTGGCTTCAAGTAAAAATTCCAGACTCTTCGTCGCCTAACGAATCAGCTGGGTTTTTTTTGGGTAGCACCACTTGACTAATGCCTCTCTTATAGTCTGGATTTGGGCGATCAAGGATTGTACGAAGTGTGGACGGAAAACCATCAAATACCTCTGCATTTTTTGCAAGACTCAATTTGCATATGCTCTGTGGCTTGCTAAAACACTAGGTTACAGCGAAGAAAATTTTCTTGTTGGAAAATGTAAAGAAGATAGCTGCGAAAGTAGTCGCACAACACAAAAGCCCTCAGGATTTTCAGCGGCAAAACTGAAACCTCGACAATCAGATCGGCAAACAACTCTGGTAACGACGATAACGTTACCTGTTCACCTTTATATATAGGGACTGCTAACGTCTTAACTAAGCGTTTAAAACATGACAAAGCAATAAAAGTTGTCTCAAGACAAATTTCTTATAACTTTTTTTCACTGTTAGTGCACAAGTATTTGTGACCGGTCAAAAACAGATTTTGACCGAGCTAAAATCAAGTTGACCGGTCATTTTGACCGGAGACCTATCGGCTGTTATATTGAGCCCTGCAAATATAAAAAATACACATACAAAATACACATATAAAGCCGAATAAAATACTACCATTGAATGCAATAATACTTGTACTACTTGTGATTGAAAGAACAAAGTGCTGAATATTTGAATCCATTAAAATGCAGTCAGATAAATTGGGATTTGGAAACATGTAAATTAGCATGTATTTTTTTTTAAATCACGAAGCGTGCCATTTTAGTGGAAGCCACGTCGGATGTCAAATGAGAAAGTGAATGCAATATCGTTTTTGTCAAACAAAACCAGCATTGTTCAGGAAGATGCAATAAGATTATTGAATAATTTACAAAATTGTTAGCAGTTAAATAGTATACAACCTTGTGAGTTATGACATTCGGAGGATATTTATCTAAATGACATGCCAGTGATCTAGCATCAACAATATAATTTATATTTGTTTATGCAGGAAATTAGGTGGGAATTTCCGGTTTCGATTGTTTCCGGTTTGGGTTAATTTCGTTCTTTACAGAGACCCTTCAATGTTTACAAAATAGTGAGTTTTGAAGCAAAAATTAATTTTGAAAGTTGTCCCGGGAAAGCCAATTGAGTGCATTGTAAACAATTTCTAGCCCAGCAAGCAGGATAAAATTTCCTTGTATATTAAACGCAAGCAAAATTCATCCTGCGAAGAGGGCCACCCTGCTTTTCCATATAAAACAGCCCTGTAGAAATGTTTCTTACAATATTTTTAAATTTCCCCCCTGACCTTTTTAATTCTCAAATAGTTCATTACACATTTATTGGTTAGTGTTAGAAAAGGGGTTGGGGTCTGTTTATCCATACCTTATCTTAAATATTCCGACTACGTATACAGTACAAATAGCAAATCAAACTCGGCATCAAACTACGTACTGTTCCAGTACTTCGTATTAATATACAACTAAATGAACTAATTATTAAAAATTAAACTGACCTTTAAACAGAAGAAATTGATTGGCTTGTATATATTGGTTTCTTTGTCATATAGTTCAATTGCTGTTGCTTGTAAATGTTTTATAAACCAGTACTGCGATGTAGCGAAATTTCGGGCCGTCTTTCACAACAAATAACATCACAATAGCTGCACATCTTTTTCTCTTTAATACAGAATCGTTTTCCCCGTCCATTGAGTTACAATTTCCAAAACTAACCAGTCGCTATAACGTAAAATAAGCGGGTATTTGTGAACAAAAATGCCCTTTGATATGACACGAGGTAACCGGCGCCATCTTGTCTTCTCCACTGGTCTTCTCCAAACATTACAGATTTTCCCGCCAAAACCCGCCCCGAAGTCCCGTATGTAACTGACGTCACAAGTGTTGTGAACGGGGGGGGGGGGGAGACCATACTTGGTGGTAATTTTTTTCAAATATACGCACTAAATCCAATTTTAATCTCTTTTATTTAGCTTCGCTACTTTTAGCTACTTCGCTTTTCGCTACTTTTAGCTTCGCTACAGTTCTCTAAAATTCTAGGTATTTTGAGTAACGTTCGCTTTGAACCGAATTTATATTAGATACACTTAAGACAAGGCAATATGATCATTTCAAGGAAAGTTCAGAAGCTGTGTGCTGTCCATTTATGAACAAATTAGAACAGTGTTCGTGTTGCCATGGCAACCATGATGTTTAATCTTTTGCACTTTTATTGTCTAATTTCACAATAAATTGACAATATCTATATTTTCCTTTGGTGAAGTTTTCTGAATTTTTTTTGAAAATTTATGGCCCAGAAAGGAAAAACATATCAAAATTTGAAGGGAATTTACAAATAAGTTTTCGAGATATTCGTGAATGACGGTTACAGAAAAAATTATTTGTAGAATTTCTTAAAATTTGGATATGTTGTACTACTCGTCTTGTATAACAAAAATACAAAGTTTAAAAAAATTTCACCGAAGAAAACATTATAATGAAAAACTGGAGCTTTCTTTGTAGATAAAAACGCCAAAAAACTTCCCGCAGCTTGTTTCAATATTTTTGCCGAACAGTAAACACGACGATTCCACGTGCAGGTCGCAAGGATGAAGTCTGATCTATATAAATCGTATTTAAACTGTACTAACTGTAGGGAGCCACCTTAAATCAACCTCATTAATTTATTTCATAATTTATGCTTATGCATGCTCTTCGGCAAGTTCGTTCCCAGGTCTTCGGGCGATAATCTGAAGTTGTCTGCGCCACTGAACTGTATACAGAACTGAATAGAAAGTCATTTTTTACATTCAAACCTTACTTCATCAGGGTTTTTTTCAGGGATATTTTTTAACTCAATCCTGAATTGAGTTTTGAAACTCAATCTTCTCACCAAAGTTTCAGTGCAGTAAAAATGAAGTTGTTTGAGTTATAAAATTTGTGACGTGTCGGAATTAGTTTTCAGTTGGAAGCCTGACAAGCCATCTTTAAGTTTATAGTGTCCTTGCTTTAACACATTCAGTCTCAATTACATTTATTGGGGGGGGGGGGGGGGGGGGGGGGTGCAGCCACCCCAACTGTTCAGCTAAACTCAATCTTCTCTGCAAAAACGGACCCAAGAGAAAATCCTGGAAAAAGCCTGTTCATATAACCATGGATAATAAAATAAATGTTATTTTACAATCCATGATGGGTTTAACCTAGCTTGTTTTGGCTTGAACAACATGGCCGCCGGCAGGTACAAAACGCAGGTTGCAGGTTGCAGGTTGGGATTTTGCAGGTTGGGGATTTTGCAGGTTGGAATTTTGCAGGTTGACAGGAATTTTGCAGGTTGATGATGCAAACTGAAAATTACACTACTATAAAGTAGGATTTTGCAGGTTGGAATTTTGCAGGTTGGGGATTTTGCAGGTTGGGGATTTTGCAGGTTGGAATTTTGCAGGTTGACAGGAATTTTGCAGGTTGATGATGCAAACTGAAAATTACACTACTATAAAGTATTCTAGTATAATTTTATTTTGTACTTATTGCAGTCTGACTCCTTGTCGCCGCTTTTGATATCAGCCTATCCTGCTACCATGTTTCTAGCCTCTGCTCATCACCCTTGTGAAAACATTCAAAATGACCAGATTGGCTCGGGTCTTCAGGGGGACGAATGTTTCGATTGTTGCGAGGAGCCTACATGACGTGGTGGCAGTTCAGAAAATGCCTGAATGAGGTGTCTCTCCTCTGCACCCACTTATGAGACCACTCAAGCCCCCAATTACCGTATCATTACTCGAGAGTTAGTTAACTTTTAACAACATTCTAGTATAAACGCCGCCACATCATGTAGGCACCTCGCAACAATCAAAACATTTGTCCAGGGGCGTAGGAAGCTTCTAAAAGTTGGGGGGGGGGCAGGCTTTGAGGGGCACTTTCCGAATAAAAAAGGGCATCTAAAAATTTTTTCCCGGAAATGTTGGCGACGGGGGTGGGAAGGGGGGAGGTCTCAACATTTTTTTCCGGACATACCAAAAAAATATTTCCAGATATATCCAATTTTCCTAAATATGAAAAAAAATTTCCGGAAACACAAAATTTTTTTTCGGACATCATATTTTTTCCCAAAATGAAAAAAATATTCCAGAAAATAACATAAATTCAAGTTTCGAAAAGTGCGCTTTGGGCAAAAATAAGCAATCCTTAAAACATTTTTAACACAAAAAAGGGCACTTTGCTCCCGGAAAAAGGGCACTTGGTAAAACTTGGGGGGCGGGCAGGCCCCCCTGGCCCCCCGGTTCCTACACCCCTGCATTCGTCTCCCTGTAGGTCCAAGCCAATCTGGTCATTTTGAATGTTTTCACAGGGGTGATGGCCACTAGCCTTAGAGCAGAGGCGCCGACAAGGAGTCAGACTGCAATAAATGCACAACTAAATTATACTAGAATACTAAAAAGTGGTGTAATTTTAAGCTCGCATTATCAACCTGCAAAATTCCAACCTGCAAAATCCCCAACCTGCAAAATTCCAACCTGCAAAATTCGCCAACCTGCAAAATTCCAACCTGCAAAATTCCAACCTGCAAAATTCCAACCTGCAAAATTCCAACCTGCAATACTGCGTTTTGTACCTGCCGACATGGCCGCTGAAATTTTCAAAAAAAGCATGCCAACAAAACTAGCTTCATAGCATGTACATAGCATACACTTTATAAAATGCTTAAAAAATCCAACCTGCAACCTGCGTTTTGTACCTGCCGACATGGCCGCTGAAATTTTCAAAAAAAGCATGCCAACAAAACTAGCTTCATAGCATGTACATAGCATACACTTTATAAAATGCTTAAAAAAATGGAGCTAAAACCACCTGCATTGTATCGAGGGAATTATATTCTCCAAGGGGTGTTTCAAAATTGGGAAATTTGGTATCGGAAGCGGAAAAAGTTGTTGGTATATCAAACTAGTCTGGTTCAATGCCTTTTAAGGACCATCTACACAATGCGATTTTTGCTTACAATTGTTGTATGCAACTTGCTGACACCATCCCTGCGACGCAAATCGTGCCGTGTAGATATGAAAAAATAGTTCAAAATGGCGGACATCAACGAGAGAAAGCGAAATTGGTACGCTTCCTGTTCAAAATGTGAACAAGGCAAAGTAAAAAAAAGTAGAAAGAGGGTCTAATATATCTCTCGGTTGGAAATGACACATACAATAATCGTACTGTATAGAAAGACGACACAAAGTCGCAGGGATGGGGTCAGCAAGTTGCATACAACAATCATAAGCAAACATCGCATTGTGTAGACATCTTCGACATCTGTTGTTAAAGATGGCTAGGAGGTTGCTGTATGACAGGGGCAGAGAGTTTTGAGGCAGTGGGGTTGATTGTTTTGTTAATGTTGCAATGTGGCAAGGGGGTTAATGACTGAGGGTGCCCCCCTTGGACAACAGCCTGTGAGCAGTATTTAGCAAAAACAACGCAAGCTAGCCGAAGTTGCTGAAATGATTAATAAAGGTATTCTAGAATGATATAGGGTGCTGAAATGAAATTCCATGGTGTGGGGTGGAACTTTGCCTGACTGGAAAGTTTGGAAAATTCAATAGTATATCTAGAAAGCGTATAGAAATATCCGCTGATCTTCGTGATCAATCGTAAAAAATTCCAAATGTGAAAATATAAATGATTTTTCGATTGAACTAATAATCGTGGTCATACTAACAACTACCATCAACAACCGACAACAAGCAGCAAATTACTGACAACAAGCACATAATTACTGCTACAACAAGCTCACAATTTGAATTACCGACAACAAGCTGAAAAATACCGACAACAAGCAAATACATACTTTCATTGTATTCTTATAGTTATTTGTATGAATGCATGGCTGTATGAATTGATGTAAATAATTTATAGCTTGTTTCTGTTTGTTACTATTAAACATTTTAGACACATTATACGCATACACACTTTATAGAAGTTGGTAGTTATATTATTATAGATAATAGGTTAGTTAATACTGATTTTCTACTTGAAATTTCGTTTCCTATCTATACTTTTATATGGTGTCTGCCTACGTGAATCCATCATCTTTAATAGCAGAATGTTTTAACTCAACAATGTTTGACAAAATCTGTCAAACTTATATATTTTGGGTTTCCTCAAAAACAACCAAATAACTATAAGAATACAATGAAAGTATGTATTTGCTTGTTGTCCGTATTTTTCAGCTTGTTGTCGGTAATTGTGTGCTTGTTGTTAGGGGTGCACCGGATTTAACAAATTTTCCGGCCATCCAGCCGGATTTGGACAAAATCCGGCCGGATTTAAATTTCTGTTTTCACCTCAAAATATTCAAGAATGGGGTAAGCCATCAATTTGGCAGCTTTAAAGTTTAAAAAACACTTATATTATTATAAAATATTAAGTTATTAACAAAAATATATTTAAAAAAGGTTTAAACACAATCAAAAATCTAAACTGACACTAACTAAAAATAGTAAAAAACATAATACTGAATTATCACAATTTATACCCAATTGGGACCATTACTGGTTTATCTCAAATCCGGCCGGAATTTTTGCCCAAAATCGGTTCCAGCCAGATATGAAAATTCCAAATCAGGTGCACCCCTACTTGTTGCCGGTAATTGCGTGCTTGTTATTAGTAATTGTCGGTAATTAGTATGACCCAATAATCGTACTGAAGTATGGCACCCGATTCTTAGCCTGCTCACAGACGTTGTTATTCTTATGCCAAACGACGAATTACTACCGTCTGCTTACCCGAGCTGCATATTCAATTCCCTTTGTTTTAGGAGCCAATCATCTGGCAGTGTTCAAAAGAGTTAGAGCCAATTGGAAGCCACCTTATTGAGAGATTAGCTACTGGGGAAAGCCCTTGCACATGCATTGGAATATATTGTTTGCATTGAAACTTGAAATTTGTTACTTGTGTGTGGATATATTTTGGAAACTATAGCGTTGAACTTTACGATGTTTACATAGAATAATATTGTGATCATCTTCTCGCATGTTGAGCAAACAATTGGTGTATATAAAGTGCTAGAGCAATGCAGTAGGCAAAATTTAAATTTTTGTTAACAATGTCAATGACAAACAATCAATCGGGAAACTCGAGTATATCAGGATATGTCCAAATGTTGCTCTTGATACTTCCTATATGCCATGACTTTGACGAAAACTTCTAAAAGATTAAGCTCTCATTGTCATGTAGAAAAGTATAGCCAAGTTAGAGTATAAACATTTCAAAGTTTGGGCGAATTGGAAAATTCATCACGGCACAATTAGTTTACTTTGAAGCTAATATTTTGCCACAGTATTATATCAAATTTTCTGTCTTCCGAGTTCTGTTGTCTTATAAAGATAAACATCCGTCAAAAGTTCAAATTTCAGCGAAATATATTCGGCTTTTGATGCTGTCTCGCCTGTTTGGCTTCATACATTATATTAAATATGCCAATCTTGTCCACGTTTTAAATATAACCGAACATCTTTAATATCCAAATATGATCATTAATTAATGGTGCATTTTATTACCTGGACAAGTATCTTTAAATTCAATTTATGTGCAATTTTGAGCAAAATTCAACCTATACATTTATATTTATTCCACTCCTAAATCAACTGAAGTCACTTTCCAGAATTTGGAAGGTAAATTCTGATTGGTCGACGTAATGGAATTCAGTTTGGCGCTTGGGTAAGCAGACGGTAGTAATTCGTCACTTGGCGTAAGAATAACAATGTCTGTGAGCAGGCTACCCGATTCTTACATTTTGTAAAGTAGTAATATAAGGCCACATAAAAAAAAATAGTTGGTTAGCGTCCTCGCCCGCCCACAAAAAAGGCCCCGCTCAGGATTTTTTTATTTAAAAAAACCCCAACTTTTACTGATCAACAGGCTCTAATATATGTAGTATTTCTGTCGACTGTAGTCAATTGTGTTAATAAGTGGCGAAATTGTGTGAAAAAATGACGGTATGAATCATATTTTGAAATATATAAAAAATATCTGTACTGCACATGAAAATCCAGTTTCGGACCTAAAACCAAGGCGTTGAAAAAAAAAAAGAGCGTCCGCCCGCCCACTTTTTGGCAAAAGCTAAGGACGCTAACCAACTATTTTTTTATGTGCCCTAAAATAGTTTTTTGCAATAGCTTTCAGCAATTCAGGCTGGTAGTGGATATTTCAGCAAAGGCGTTGCGTGCGTGCGAAGTGAAACGAGGTCGGGTCTGGGTTTAGTTTTAGCCGTCGGTTGTCTGTTTGGCTTAGAAATTTTTCTTAAAATATTTTAAAATTTTTTTTCTCGAAATAAAAAACTTTCAAATAGTTTATTAGGGCTTTATTGGTTAGGGTTAGAGAAGGGTTTATCTTAAATATTACGATTGCAGTACGAATAGCAAATCACACTCGGCGTACTGTTCCAGTACGATTAGGCGATTAGCCACTTCGTAAAAAGTTTTTACTAGTATCCAATATTTCGTAATTCGTATTAATATACAACTAAATGAACTAATTATTAAAAAGTAAACTGACCTTTAAACTGAAGAACTTGATTGGCTTGTTTCTTTGTCATATAGTTCAATTGTTGTTGCTTGTAAATGTTTTATAAACCAGTACTGCGATGTAGCGAAATTTCGGGCCGTCTTTCACAACAAATAACATCACAATAACTGCACATCTTTTTCTCTTTAATACAGAATCGTTTTCCCCGTCCATTGAGTTATAATTTCCAAAACTAACCAGTCGCTACAACGTAAAATAAATGGGTATTTGTGAACAAAAATGCCCTTTGATATGACACGAGGTAACCAGCGCCATCTTGTCTTCTCCAAACATTACAGATTTTCCCGCCAAAACCCGCCCCCAAAGTCCCGTATGTAGCTGACGTCACAGTTGTCATGGACGGGGAGGGGGGGACTACCCCTAGAAATAATAGATCTAATATTTCTATGGGACTACCCAACTACCATATTTGGTTTGTTGGTAAAATATTTCAAAAAATACACACTAAATCCAATTTTAATCTCTTTACCTTCGCTATTTTTGCTTTTCGCATATTGTTTCACCCATCCACGACTGTAACACAACAATTTTTGCTCACTAAACATTTTAAAATCAACAAAAATACAGTATTAATTTATTTAATAAGGACAACGAGAAAATCCGAAGTTGTGACAAAGTAGTTGAGCTATATACAGCAGAAAGTAATATCATCGAAGTAGACCAGTTCAGGGTCTTTCAATGATAATAAGCAGGCATTTGCCCCCCCAGTCCCCCCTTGTGCCCCCCACGAAATCACATTTTGCCCCCCCACCAGGAAAAGTCCCTTTTCCCTAAAATTATACAAACAAACCAGCGAAGATTAACAAATACATAAACGGAAAGCACGTTTTAGGCTTTATCATTTGTCCTTGTTTAACAAAATCGATTTAAATTGTTACTTTTTTCTACCACTAAGTAATGATAAATTATTGTTAATAATTTTTTTATTTTTTGGATGCTCAGAATGCAGGAATATAGCATTTCCGGGTTTCAAATTTCAAAAATTTTCTGGGGATTATCCCTCTAATAAGTAATGATAAATTACAGTTAATATTCTTTTTTACTTTTTGTGCATTTTTTCCATCTTTACTTCAAATACAAGTATAGTTAGCATAAATTTTAGAGCAAATTTGGATGCTCAGAATGCAGGAAATGGCATTTCCAGGATTCGACTCCCTCCACTGGGGGAGTACTCCCTCAGACCCCCCCCCCCATTCGTGCGTGGTATGTTGGCCACACACGTGGCCTTCAGCCATTGCTATCCCCCTATAATATATTATCTCACAGAAAGGCCCCTTTTCAAAAAATGCCCCCCCCCCCACGGGAAAATCCTTAAAAAAGGCCCTGGACCAGTTTGATAACCAACAACTTTTTCGGCTTCCCGTTCCGATGCCAGATAATCAGAGTTTCCAATTTTGAAACACCGCTTGGTGAATTTAATTCCCTCGATGCAATGTAGGTGGTTTTAGCTCCATCAGTTTCTAAGTATTTTAGAAAGCGTATGTTATGTACATTCTGTGAAGCTAGTTACAAAACTGTTTTTGCAGTTTTGCTGCCTTTTTATATTAGCAATGAGATATCTAGCGTGCTGATCCGTTGTTACAGAAGGCTAGGAGTTTGCTGCATGACGATGCAGAGGGTTTTGAGGCAGTGGGTTGATGTTTTTGTTTTGGCCATTTTTCATTTTTGAAAAAAGGGCTATTAAAGGGAGTGGTCATTAATAATTTGGGTGAGAAAAGGGTGCTGGCTTCGACTATTTTTGCCTGAATCCCAAGGGGGCAGTCTCAACCTGAAAAATATGTTACAAGGGGCAACTCCAATTTTTTAAATACTTAGTTCCTATAATCGTAGTTTCCATAGTTTATTATGTATATACAGTTCACCATAGGTCTCGGAGTAAATAACAACCATTTTGAATACTGGTTCTCTAATTATTTAGGCTACACGATGTCTTACACCAGTACCACAGAATTAAGATCAGTAACAGAAGCGCCAATCGGCGGTGCAACGTGTCCTCATTTTTTTATGCAAAAATATGCAGTTTACTGGCCAGAAGGCGGAGCAGCCAGCCAGTACAGCGTGTTTTTCTGGCTAATGCCAGAAAATGTCATTAACTGGCTAGGAAAATGGCGGCCAACATGCATAATGCGACATGCGCAAGTACAGAAACTTCCGACATAAGTGGCCCTTCTGTATGGATCTTTATTCTATGCCAGTACTTATCCCATATTTACCTATTTTACACCAAAAAAATGTAACAAATTAAGGGGGGTGGTGGTCTTGAAAATAAATGTCTTGTGATCAGGGGCGACTCTAAGAAATGTTCAATATCTGGTATTTATCACTCACAGCCACCACCCACCTCCCATTATTAACCGGTCCCTAAAAATGCTTGAAAAGTTAAGGGGTTCTAACCTTAACGTTTTAGCCCCTTTTTCAAAAAGGGGCTGCTCTATCCCATGATAAAGCAAAAAATAATTAGAGACAAAATGAGATACAGTAATTTGAGTAATAACATGATGATAAGCAAACTGTGAACAACAATTACAATTCAAATACAGTAGTCAAGCAAGACTTTGCAAGTCAAGCAAGTTGATGGGCGGGTGGCACACATGCATGACCAAACACAACTTGGCACCGGAGCCCCCTCCCCCTTCCAGATCATGCTGGATCCATCCCTGGGGCTCAAATATGGCCAAAACGTTAAGGAGTTAACCTTGAACTTTTCACATCAAATTGATAGAACATACCTTAAACTTGCCTTTAACTTCAGATTTTGTGCTTCTTTGCTGTTTAATTAAGCATCGTATCTTGATCTTTAAAGTACTTGTTTTCACAGACAGGCTCTCTCTTTGCAGCTAATTTTCGCTCAGCTTACTGCAAATTCGCGAATTTCGTGCAGCTTATTCATGCAGTTTTAAATTTGTGCAAGTAATTTTCTGTGTTCATTCTTTTTGGAACAAACTATTAACAATTAATGCATTTATAAAAAATTTAATCAAAAAGCGGTCAGGGTGGTCTCAAAAATGGCTTCAAAATTATGCAATATAAGCAAAATTCACAATAACAAAGCACGAGTCCAAAATACCAACAAGAACTAAAGATTTTCCTATAATACAATAACATAATGCAAATAGTAATGCAAATAAGTTAATAAACCAACTGATTTGCATTACTAAAGCCTAGTTTCATTTGGTCGTTCCAGGCATACTATAGTACCATCGTACCACTGACACTGGTACCCAGTTTTCCGACAATGCGCGCGTAATAACAACGTGCTCTATTACAGTTAATTTAACAACGTGCTCTATTACAGTTCTTTGAATATTTTGCGACACAGAGATTCATTACTCGATTCATTTTACTGTGCTCTTTTGTGATAGTTAGAATGTCTAATAAACAGCAAAAGAAAAGGAAAAAGCCGCCCGAAATATTCGATTTAGATAACATAGTTGCTGGCTTAAGATCGAATGTTTCGTTCGTTGAGAAAATCCAAGAGCACATCACAGCGCTTCGTGATGTTAATCTTGAGCACGTGTTGGCTGAGAAAGTTAAGCTCGTCGGATCCATTTTTTTTTATATAACTTATCCTATGTATCCGTCGGATCCATTTTTTTTTATATAACTTATCCTATGTATCCATCGGATCCGTCGGATCCATTTTTTTTATATAACTTATTCCTATGTATCCATCGGATCCGTCGGATCCATTTTTTTTTATATAACTTATCCTATGTATCAATCGGATCCGTCGGATCCATTTTTTTTTATATAACTTATCCTATGTATCCATCGGATCCATTTTTTTTATAGAACTTACCTATGTATCCATCGGATCCGTCGGATCCATTTTTTTTTTTTATATAACTTATCCTATGTATCCATCGGATCCGTCGGATCCATTTTTTTTTATATAACTTATCCTATGTATCCATCGGATCCATTTTTTTTATATAACTTATCCTATGTATCCATCGGATCCATCGGATCCATTTTTTTTTATAGAACTTACCTATGTATCCATCGGATCCGTCGGATCCATTTTTTTTTATATAACTTATCCTATGTATCCATCGGATCCGTCGGATCCATTTTTTTTTATATAACTTATCCTATGTATCCATCGGATCCGTCGGATCCATTTTTTTTATATAACTTATCCTATGTATCCATCGGAT